TTCCTCGTTTCTTTTTTTCATTTGCACTCCACTCACCATCCACAAATTTATTATCGACCTCTTTTACCACTCGAATTCGGTCTAGAATTGTTGCTTCAATATGCAGAGAAGCTGGAGCATGCTTTTATACATTCTGTCGCCGAGAGGGCGCAGATAAGTCTCGCGCCGCGGCTTGCGCTGCTAGCCATGCCATAGCGCTGACTTCTACTGCTTATTTGTAAGTCCATTGTTAGCATTGGTACAGGAACAGGAAACATTTTCTTGCTTCATTCAAATGAAAATGTAAATGATGACTTTCAAGGGTTTTGTGCTTCCCTCATGTTGCTCTTGTTTTCCGATTGACAAATAGTCAGTTAACCCCAATTAAATCGAAATTTTTTTACATGCGCAGAAGAAATGACCCATATAGAAGTGATTGACTGATTGCATTGCGCGGAGTTCTTGGAAATTATGATATTTGCTGTGCTCCACACATGAATTTGTATTAGATTTGGAAGGCGTTCATGGCCTTAGGGAGACATTCAGAACAGGTCATTTAAAAACCGCTGGTAAAGGACGCTAGGGCTAAGTCTAGGAGAAGGGAGAAACGCCAGAGGGAACTCTCCCTCTCCCCCCCCCCCCCACCCTTCCGCCTAACGACACGAAAGCCGATTTTGAACAGTATTGTTTTGAGTTTCTACTATTCAGAGCGGACTCCGATGCTGTTCAACTTTTCTCTTTTGTACTAACAGACTCGCAATCTCAGTATACATTTGGTTATTGCCGGTTTACTCCGAGAAACAATACATGTATCTGCATATTAAGGTAGGTATACTGGATAGCTTTTTTGATGATCTCCTTATGCTATTTTTCCAGCGGTTTTTCATGGCCTGGAGTATTTTACAAAGTTTTGAATCATGTTTCAATCATTATGAATAATGGCACGGTAAGTCAGAATGTTAGCCTACAATTTCCTCTTTATATTTTAAAATATAGGGGATTCTTAGCTGCTTTTTCCTTGTGTGATTGAGTTTTGACTTTTAAGCAGGACGACTTGGACGCCATTCTCACGCGGATATATCATACAGACATTCCTAACATAGGCGACACACTCCAGTTTGAATGCCACAATGGAATGCATGTGAGTTTTGCAGAAGCCCACCGAGGATACCCATATGACTTCTCAATACTTTTGGCATCATAATTCTGCACGTAAGTTCCGAGGTCTCAGGTTGGTCGCGCGTTGCACGCCAGCAATAGAGGAAAAGGTGCTCCTGAAGGGAGGGTTTTGTTGTTGCTGCATTTCTGTGATATATTTCCACTGTGGGTCGCAGATATCTTAGCTTTTACTGCCGATTTCTCTGAAACGTTGATTGCGCGTTTGTTTCAAGTCTCAGAAAAGCAACTGGCTAATGCAGAACAACACTTCTGCGATCAGATGACTAAATTGCATGAATTGCGAGCCGATGCGCTTAGTAAACTATGCTCGCATGCCCTACCCATTGAAATTTCGAAGTCAGCAGTCATTTAGTTATACGCCTATCCTTGCTCAAGCCCGTTATAGTTGGCGATTGAGATTAACTAGCGAGAACCAGAGTCAACCGTGCGTTGCGCAGCTCTCAACGGCCACGTTGCGCAGTTTCGCCCGATTAGACACGTTCTCTCGCGCGAACATTCACACTCGCATGCTTGAGCTGTCTGTGCTCTCCGCCCATACAGCGTGCGTTGAGGATCTCTCAACGTGCCGTTGAGAACTGCGCAACGCACGGTTGACTCTGGCGATAGCCTAGCGATAAGTATTCGGATATAAATTGATCAGTTGGGTCAGGGAGTAGCATGAATCGTAGATTGAAGGCGCGGGCGCGTAGCTTTTCTTGCTAGTTTGAGTCATGCATAAAGAGGAGGAGTGACTGCCATGACTACCAAATGCCTTGTTTGACTTGCTAAAGTGTTGGTGTAAGTGGCGTAGTGTGTAATACTTTTAAAGCAGTGAGTGTGGTGGCTGAGCTTCGGAGCTTATTCAGATTGGTTAACTGGAAGGTGTGGTCAGACCACCTTCAAAGCCCTTTCACAATGACATCTGTTAGCCTTCGCATTGTTTGCCTTTGAAGGTCTTGATCTCTACATAAGGAGAGAGGTGGGGGGGGGTCAAACCACCTCAAAACCGTATCCTTAATGTAGAAGAATCAGTTCGGTATCTTCTTTTCTTTAGAGGACGAATTCACGATGAAAAAGCAACCCATTTCAAATCAACCTAGGGATGGTGGGTGGTACACGAATGAAGGAAGAACCATGAGAAACGGCCCAGAGCCCGAGAAATGGGACCCCTTCCTTGCCCGTTGATTCGAGCATTGATGCGACTCTCATCGCAGTGTCCTCTTCAACACTACGCTCTCTTACCTATCTAATCACTCGCCACGTATTGAACTACGGCAAGTGATGAGATGATCGGTCGGCGGAGATCGCCGGACCCGCCAGCTTTGAGGCATGATAGGCCACCGGGGTCAAATTTTTTCATGCGAGTTGCGCGTCAGTTAGCACCCTCAGAAGGTTCGCAGGTCCCTCAACTAGGTCAGTTTCCCTTTTTTCGACCTTCATTCTAATGAAATCGTGAATTCCTCCTTTAAAGAAGATTGAGGTAGTCTCACTGCTTGTTAGCTATCACCGAAGTGTCTAGTCGTGAAAAAAGCTCTCGAGAAATGTTCTTGTTGCAGAAACTTGAGGTAAAGGTTCCTGATATTACTAAGCTGCCCACCCTTCGTGAAGACAAATTTATGTTGGAGTTTTATAACGCTGTTTCGCCTCGACAGATGTTGGCAATTTATGCTAGGTCAGCAATTTTCTTTGTTCTCTTTTTACTTACGTTTTTATTTACATTTTCGTTACGTACTTCTGAACTTCTTTTGCAGTTTGCTCAAAGAACGCCGTGTAATCTTTACTGGAAGGAAACTAAGTCAACTTAGTTCGTGCATTTATGCCGCGTCTACGCTTCTTTACCCAATGTTTTGGTGAGCCGTTGTCTTTAGTTGAAGAAATTGACTTTCCGTTGGAGTAAATCATCACAGCCAATATAACTTCCTACTTCGTCTCTCATTTTTTATCGCATTGATGTTTTTGCCATGCGTTCATTGTACTAGACCTATTGCTTCGTGAAAGGTCGTTTGCCTTTTCAGAAAAAATCTCAAGATGTCGTTGTGGTTTAGCCTTGTGTTAGATGGCAGGAATCTTCAGTTTTTTAATGTTTCGTTTAAGGCAATCCGTCTTCATACCAGTTTTACCTGAATCTCTACTTGACATGGTCATGGCTCCGATGCCCTTCCTTATCGGTGTTCCAAAGCAAGTGTTGGAAGCTAACGTGGGTCTAATAAAATATTATTCATAGCCAGAAGTCTTTTGCATCCTATTGCTCGAAATATAACGATGGTAGGCGCGACTACGAACTCTGTAGCTTAAAGAGTGCGAAAAAAAACCATTGTGACAGTGACAATGTAAGGAGCTCAAGAATCGTCGCGACATGGGTTTTTCTAAACGATGATGACAAAGCGCCTCTTGAGTTTTTCGCAGAGTGGGACCGGAGCGATTTTGCAGATGCGACTGCCTCACCTCAAACCGGAGATTTTGAGCCATAAATATGCGAAGCTTGGATGTGGTAAAATGTCACTGAACAATGCCCAATGTGTTTAAAGGCAAGGTTGGATCTCTGGAAAAATTCCCCTCTTGAGTGATGTAGTAGGACCCCTTTATAAGGATGGTGGTAATGTGGCTGCTTGAAAGTACGACTTTCTTTGTTTGAACGCACCGCTGCCATTCCTACCAGCCGCAGCATACGCGGAACCTGCGCTCTCGTACACTCGCGTTATACGACGTACACTCGCGTTTTTACTCTCTTGGCAGCGCCGTGTCTCCCCGTCGTAGCACGATCAACCTCAGAAATTAAATTTTTGAGGTTTTCTTCGATGTTTTTTGCTTTTTCCTCTGATACCATCCCTCTTCGCACTTCTCGTTGCTTTCGCTGTAGTGGACCTCGGAAGTATTTTTGAGGCTCCTCCACTTTCTTGGCACTCCAGGGCGCGGCCGAGCTGGTAGTCCCTGCAACCAGGGTCAACCGTCCGTTGGACAAAGTCTAACGAGAGGGGGTCGTGTTCGGCTGACGAAAAGGGGTCGTAGGTCGGAGGCAGCATCAATCCAATAGTGTGATACGCTTTGTGAGTGCTAAGAAAAAAAAATGTCATTTCACTGTTGATACATACCCATATACCCCTCGTCTGCTATTTTGGAGAAAATGCGGGTGGTGTTGCGCTGTGTCAACTGGTCTCAGAATCGAATACCATAGTAATAGCTGGGGAGGGGGCGTCGTATCGAGGCCCTCCGGAAGGTGGGGGGAGGTCGTAAAATTTTTGGAATTTGTCCAACGTGATGGTTGACCCTGCCTGCAACTTTGCTGATGGAGCGTTTTCAAACGTACCTGCACATTTCGCAGGCACTATCGTCTCGTCCGCGCCCGCTGCGGCCGCGTCCCAAAATGTGAAAAAAAGTGAGGGAGCCTATTTTTGACACTGTTGTTTCGCTTATGGGTATACGCATATTTTGGCATACGTATAGGTCTGTATTTGCTTATAATGCTCTTTTTGGGTCTCATCCAGTAGGGCTGTGCTGCGACGGTTCATATTGCGTGCAAACATAATTTTCACAGGGAAGGAAGCTCCTTGGTGGGTTTGAAAGCGGTTACGAAACTGCTCACGCACCGCCAGAGTTTTCCCTAAGATCATCTTTTGTACATTAATGTTTATGAAAAAACGAGGATGGAACTGAACTGACAAACTTGGATGACTTGAAGAACCTTGGCTAATGTAAAAGTTTTGACCATTCGAGAACCACGCCACATATAGTAGTCATGTTACGGTGAGGTCTATAGAACGGATACAACATTTTTTCAAAGAAGTTGCGCATACGCGAAGAAATAAATGGCGCGTTCCTTGGGCGCATGTTCCTCGTGCGCGCTGTCGTCAACATGTTACTGGATGTCGCTCAAAGGTTTCATTTCCAACACGGCAGTAAGCACTACGAGCAGAAGTTTCCACACACACACATGCGCCTTCGTATTCCTTATTCCTACCTAGCTATATACAAGTTACAGAATCGAGTTGGTTAAAATTATTGGCGCTATCGCAAGATGGGGGGTTGTGGTGGCGATGTTGTGACAGCCCTGTAAAACTGTTTTCTCAAAAACGGGGGTGAGTCTTAGGCGGAGGGGGGGGGGAGATCTCAGGATGTGTGATTAATTTTCATTTCCCCGAAGACCTGCTTCCTCTCAGGCTTAGTTCCAGAGCATGCCGCGTCTCTTGCGATGGCGATTAGTAGAGGTATTTATTGACTTTAAGATCTTTTTATGTTTATTATATTTATATATGAATGTGATATTCATATTATTCTATTTCATAGTTTTCAGTCAGTTGCGAAGACGTCCATATTCAAATTTAATACCTATGTTTTTATACGTTTGGATGTTCATGCAGGATTGGCCATTTTGGAACCATCTTTGGTACTCATCAACCTTTTCCTGGCAATTTAGGTGTTGAAAGATCTTGGCGAAGTAGTTATTGTGGATCTCGAGGATAAAACACTCCAAAGCGCACATAACGATGTGGCTGACATTCCTAACGAGGTTTTTATTTGATCGTTTCTCAAGATTTCTAAATTTCATACTGTTCTTTTAGGTCGTTATGTATTTAAAAGGTCAGCTGAAAAATTCTTCGGATATGGGAGATTCGATATCAAGAAGTTTTCTCCGGGCTAATGTTCTACTCTTTGGTGGTTATCGAATGGGTTTTGTCAGGAGCGAATCAACGGGGGTTTGTTAGAGACTCCTTGCTATGATATCATCTTCTTCCAGTGATTCATCGCGCGGTTTTTTCGCGGTGAGGAAGCAATGACGCCTCATCATTATCCTCGGCCGCGCTCGTTGGTCTCCCTGATACGCAATTTCAGGTGGTACATTGGGATAAGGAGAAGTTCGTACGTGAACAGAGGTCATCGTTCCAGCCGTTTTTGTTGTCATTAATTGGAACAGACGGTGTTCAGTACCTTGAAAGGGTAAGTAAGTTAGATAGTAGATATTAGAAATGATGAACAGTTCAACGCCATTGCTTGTCATTAAGTTTATCGAGGAGCGTACACGAGCACTCAATTGTGGTTTGCCAATTTCGGACGAATTCGAAACAGAGATTGGGAATATGGACAAGCTGAAGACACAGGTAGCTAGTCAGTCAATATCTAGTTCGACCGAACTGCAACTTTCTTCTTACACAAAAGCGTCGTCATTCGCATCTTCCGAAAGATTTGGAAATTATAGGCGGTAAATCCTGAAGCGATACAACAAGCAATGCAAAGTGTAAGTATGTCATAAATGTAAACAACTGTGGGGCATCTAAAATGTGCGTGTGCTGTCGTTTATTTATCTTTAGTTCACAGTTATGTTGAACCCATTGCTGTGATGTCAGAATATTTGTAGTTTGTGATGAGGCTGCTACCTTTTGGTGCTACTTGTGACCTAATATTTATGTTAATGGTTCAAACATCAAAACTAGCCTCTTTCAGGTGAAGGACAACGCTAGTGATGTGATCGGCGCATTGAAAGATAAAGTTACGGGTATTCAGGTTAGTTTGATTACTTACTTAACCATCAGAGTTATACGTAAACCAGATATGTTCCCGTCCCACCCTGTACATCACTTCATGGAATCAACGCCTCACTGATAACTTACAGTCTACTCGGTTTCTCCTCAATGGTCCTGCCGCAAATGGCTAGAGCACAGACGTGCAGAGAATGGGTGAATACTCCGGGACTAAGCCTTGGAGAAAAGAGGGATCCGCGAAAGAGCGTAGAGGCGGTTTGAAGGACTGAGTTCAAGTAGTCCGTCAACCCTTCACTGATGGTGGGACGCGCGCCACGAATTCCGTGAAATTTGCCATTCATCGCGTCTTATCAGCTCTCATCAGCCGTCACCACCTTGGTTCCCACACCATATGTGTTTCCGTCCCATCCTTTACATCATACTTAAAATATAGCGGAGCGAGCCGTGAATTTCGTGACAAGCGGACGCACACACACATAAACACAGACATACTTGGCAAATTACATGTAGTAGGATTTGTGTATTTTATGCATTTGAATGAAGCTCGCAGCAGTTGATACCTCCCTGCTATCGAGGAGTATGAAAATTTTTTTTCGTATTATATTTTTTTCGTAATATTTCAAGTTTGACACTAATGGACCACAAATCTGCCACCAGTGGCGCACGATGCGCAGTGAACTGCTCCCATGCGTGCTTGCCACAGAATCATGGTTCTTCTGACGACAATCCCTTAGAGCTCACAACCTCGCAGCGATTTGCTTCATCACTCACCGTTGGGATTGACAAGACTCTGATACCTACACGTCGCGGCGGCTCTGAAAAAAAAAACGGTGGCACGCGTGCTTTTCAAAGCCTTTGATGCTGTTTGATTTCACGTGTGTCAGAACATGCGCATTTACGGCGCGTTTTTCTGCTGGACTTTTATAAATGATGTCAGTTCTTGGTGCTGGACGCTATTTGTGGCTCTCATACTGTCACAACTTTTCGATAATCGTAGAACTTCCTATGTAGGCTCTTTTCTCGTCTTCAAACTCATAGTTTCCATAGTCTCTTTTTTCAGATCGGTGCGAAACTGAACAAACTGACGCCGAAGGATATTCGAAAGCCTAAGAACTGGACACTGAAGAAGGGGTCAAAGAGTGGCGGCTTTGAGCCAATGTCATTTGACAACATCCAATGGCGTGAGCCAGGGGTGAGGCATAGTTCAGCGATGAGAAGTGAGGGAGAAGGTGCGAGTGGCTATGAGGTCGGCTCTGAATCCGTGCGTTTATGAGGGCATTTTTGGTTTTGAATGTTAGCCGTTGTTAATGTCACGCTTGTTGGCCTAAATGAGAATTTCAGGCCGATAGTGACTCATCTGGTGGTTCGTCCCCTCGTCCAAATGACTCGTCGAATGTACCTGTTGCTAATCTGATCGATTTGGATACCCCGATTGAAAACCCTGCTCCTCATGATAATGTAGGTGAAGAATTTACCATGTCAGAAGTCACTATATGGGTTTTCTTTGATTTCCAGATCTCATCATCTAACTCTCTTTTCTTGGATTTGGAGCCATCTCCGTCGTCTTCCGTTGCTCCATCTAGGACGCAACAATATCCAGTCGTGGCACCGATTCCAGTTGGGTGGGTACCCTTTTGATCATGAAAGTCATTCATTTGTGTAGTTAAATTTCGTTCCTTGTTTCAGTCAGTCAACGTTCTACACAACCGCCATAGATCCTTTTTTTGATCCCTTCAAAACGCCTACCAGTCCCAGCGAGACGAATGCGGCGCCAGTCAACCCCAAGAATAAATGGGAGACTTTCGATTAGAATATTATTTATAAGATACGGGTCCTTCAATATGAATACGCTAGTATAATATTACTTCTTTAATGGTGACTAGCTTTATCATAGTGTTTGTAATCAGGTACACTGGTTTGATTTGATTGTCAGTATAACATACGGCGTGATTTATGGTCCAGTACAGACTGTCCTTCCTTTTTTGATGTGTCCAGCGTGATTCTGATTTAGGGAGATTTCTAGTGTTTTATGAGAAATGGTGGAGGAGGTTCTTGTATCATGCAATTCAATTTCACTTCGTCAGCGCCATAAATGGAGCTCCCAGCCTATTCACTCTTATTCTAGTCCTAGATTGTTATAGCATTTATTGTGTTTAGGTTGCTCCATAGAATTTCTTGTGCGAATGCATAATTCAGATCACAATCAGTGTGGATAAAGAGTCGTGTTTGTCTAGTTGTTACATAATACTGCAATATTTCCGTAGCTTTTTTTGCTTGCAAAACCAGTTTTGAAGTACACATACTACACTCAAAAACTCATTTCGGAGAGCCGCTAGAAAACGAGCTGAGCGGCTTCAAAGTGGGCGTAATTGCAAATCGGCTGCGATCTCCTTGGCCGATTCGCAACCACACCCACTAAGAAGCCATTCAGCTATATTCCCAGCGGCTTTCCAAAGTGCGTTTTCTGTTCAACCGCACTTCTTATGCTCTTGACTTGGGCTAGCGCATCGTTACTCACCAGTAGTTTTGAAGATAAACCCTGCTGGGACTTTGCTCGAATGCTTTGAAGGAATCGCTCCCGGGAAAATCTTGCATACCTCCCCAATGCGCATAAGTCAGTTGTGATCACTAGGGACAACGTACAAAGTTCCACGCTTAAAGATTCAGGTTTTGAAGAGAAACAAGCCTACAAAAACCTCACTACGGACAATCGAAGGTAGGCCGATGTCATAGATACCTTCGTTACGAAAGATGGTTGGCTCTAGATTGAAACGCTAAGCTCATTCCTGCGTTTACGCGAGTTGGAGAATACCGCGCAATCTATACGTTGCACTAGATAAGGGTAGCTCCTACCTGCGCAGAAACCACGTCCCTGGTGGCGAGGCGTAATGGAAAGAAAGGCGACAGGATCGCAGAGATGGGCGGAAAGCAGGGGGAAGGGTCAAGAATCGTCGACGAGGGGGTCGTCATAGGTCTAGTGGAAGAGAGAAAAGTTGCAAGTGCGAGGATCAGCTATGATCAGAGCAGTGGTAGTCTGTCGTGGAGAACATGGGAACCACGACTCTGCCAGATGTCGGGTGCGTGGCGTCTCCCTGAGCAAATTCGACCGATGCCATTCGCTGCAATTCCCGTTCTCTCTGATGAAGATGTGAGTTTGAGACACACCAAGCGGTTTCCGAGAGCGACTGTTTGAGAAGGCAGGAAGGAATCTACTACACAAGAAGAAATGCGATGCCAGCATTAACTTCATAAACATACAATCATTTGTGTTGGAACCTTGCAGTATACTGTCACCTCAAAGCAGAAAGCTTGGCTAAGATAAGCTTGACTTCAGTTACGGTGCAATAGCGCCACATCTCGTCACAGGGCTTTCGTAAACAATGAGTTGCTCATGGCAACTAACGTTATGGGGAGGGGGTTGATTCGCCAAGTCGACATGCGCCAGGGCCATTTTTCCATGACTATTCAAATATCAAATTCGATTGTCAGAACAGCCGAGACCAGGAAAATGTGCAGATGGTGTGCAGTGACTATAACGCCCGAATCCGGAGGACGTCCCGCGGTGGGCGGGTGCACCCTCAACATGATCGAGGTCCGGTCTAATGAAAAAAATCCCGTGAAATTGGTTAGAGGAAGGCCTTTATCGACCTGTAATCACCTCTCGTCCGCGTGTGATCATCGAATTGCTCTCGACGCGGGGCAGCACCGTCCTCCATTCGTCCCTGTCGCCGTGCGAATGAGTTGTCAGACCATCCTCGCTCGAGGACACGACTCCTCCATTCCTTTCGTTCGAGCTTTTCGTGAAAGAAGTCTGACGCCCTCGGCTCGTCGGTCGTCCAGGTGTTCGTTGACATCGCCGAAGGAGTCCGTCGGTACCGCTCTGGCCAACGGTCATCGAAAATCGCATGACGTGTCCGGCCCACCTTATCTCTCGATTTTCCTTGGCGAAAACGGCAGCTCCCTGATTTCGATAGTTGCGTAGTTCGGCCTGGCCATTCCCCTCTTGCACTTGTCGTGTAATAGGTTATCTCCTAGCTTCGTCCTCTTCGAACAGGCGGCGTTGGATAGACGCTGACGCCCATGCTCGGTCGCCTGCCTGCGCAGTATGTCCGAAGTCTCTGAGCGTATGTAGGTGCAGGAAGTGACAGCGGATTCTGAATAGAGGGGCACTGGAGCCGGATGTTCTCTTCTTTCTTTTCTATCTACTCCTCGATGTTCTTATGCGCGTCCCCAAGCCCGCGTCGTTTCTCTCCTTTGCTGTCAGCCCTTGGAGCTAGTCGTGTTCATTGCATATTGATTTTCAGGTACTCGCTATTTCTGTAACATTCGTGATGTTCGTTCCGTTAGCGTTTGATGGGGCATCACGAACCACCATCCGTTTTTCTTCTATTAAACATCTGTTTCGATTGTTTCAGTCTGTAGATAATCGACCTTATCCACTATGCGCAGTCGAAATTCGCCAGTCATTCGCTCCTGCTTGCTCGATGTCGTCGCGGTTATATTGTAGACGATGTTCGTCAGGCAAAACGAAGGTGGTGGCATGTCGCCAGGCCGTTCGATCCTTTCTATCTCCCCATGTCTTCCCATTCCCAGTTGACGCTATGAAGGTTTGTCCGAGAGTCGCTGCTGGCTGAAAGTTTGGTGCGAGATTGTGTTCGCCACTTGTTCGGAGCTCTCTCTGCTCTGTTAACGTTCTTGATGATTGACTCTCCCTGTAGAAATGGTGTAGATTTCTGTTATTTAAAGTTGCTGTATGATGCTCACGCGAATGAATCTTTGATGTGAGTCTGAGTAAGGGACGTCCTCGGTGCCAAAGCTTCGATGACCCTTGCTCTCTGTCTCATTCATAGTCGGAAGTTCTCTTCTCCCAATTCGATGAGTCGTGAACAAAGGCGTATTCTTGTACTCTCGTTTGAATACAATGAGTCTTTGTAACGCGTTGTGGATATGGTCGATCGTTGCTGAATGTCCTCTCTGTCGAACCTCTGCCTTGCCTTCGCAATTTGGCTCTTCCTTCATACTCCAGTATCTCGTGTGCGATCTGTTTTAAGAAGACTCGAGGATATAGCTTGTAGATTATCATGACAGCAGTCATATGGGCGATAGTTGCCAATGTCGGCGCCAGGTCCCCTCCTTCTGTACGAAAAATTCTATGCAAACACGTCCTGCTAGTTTTCAATCAGAGTGGGTCAGCCTTTTGCAATTCCGATCCAGTATGCGCTGTGAAGAGCGAGCCAGGTAGTTTTGATGTAGGTTAGCTTTGGCGGCGCCATTTTTCTAGTGTATTAGTTCCCGTTCGATCACTGTCGAACGCGGTGGTGCTTGACGATTCCTTCTTCACTTCGGACTTGATTTCTGTGTTTGACTTCGGATAGAGTACTGAGAGGAGATCGTATCCATCCTGTTTTTCTATGTGATAAGGGGCAGATTGGATTCATTTTGCCATGTCGAAAATCCGAGTAGTAAGTTCGTGGATGTATATTTCTCCATTGCCTCTTTTCGGGATGCATGTGACTGTGTTTCCAATCCTGATCCGTCGGTAGGTCATGGTCATCTTTGTCGTTGTGTACGCTGCAAGCTTCGGTCGGGCCTTTGTCGATGCCTCCTTCCCATGCCTCTGCTGCTTTTCAGTCTAAACTGCTGCTGTGCTTCGCTTCTCTTAGTATTCTTTTCCGTTTAATCGCCTGTTCAACTCAGAGGAAGTAAGCACGGAAGGCCTATGGGCACATATAGCGTAATCATTGTGGAGGCCTTAATTATTCTAACGATGTTCTCTAACATTAATCTTTGGTGGGTAACCACGCCATTAGTGTGGCGGAGTACTTGTTAAGTGACTTGTTCATTATAATTATTATCTACTACTACGATACTTCGATTAGTCACTATTGTTACAATCTGATGCTCAAAAATCCAGACTTTTTCAATACAATTGGAGGATGTCCCTCTTGTCGTGATCCCCTTATAAAGCGAACCGCAATGAATTAGATATCACATACGTACGATTTTTTGGATCATGAGAAAACGCCTATCTCCAGGTGCCAGCAACGGAAACTTTGTTTGCTCTTCATCAAAGTAAAATGAGGCGCAGTCAACTATATGCCGATAGTTGCTTGGATGATGCGGCACTCATGCTGATTGATTTCTCAGTAGGCTGAAGGCGCTTGAAGTTTTTTCGCGTTAGTTTGCTACGTCTACATGCGAAGGTCAGTCGGAGTACCTTATCTAAACTGTCACGTATACAAGTTCCTTTTTCTGGAAATCACGATTAGCCCCTGATGCACATTGTATGGATCTTTAGTCGCTCATAAGTTCTTGTTCAGTTACCGGTGATATGATGTATTCCCCAATTGTTTATAAGAATTGGCCGTTGTCCTTGTAAAGCCTATTCTGTATGATACTGAAGCATCAGTTTAGTGTTCTCGAAGTCCCGTGCATTGAGAGTCTAATCACTATCGCAATCCCGAAGTTCCGATAATCTTTTCTCTCTTTCCGTCGCATCAGCATTACTTTGTCACCTCTGCGAAAATTATAGAAAGCTCATACGTGATAAACTTGCTTAACGCACTTGGTCAGACAGAGCCTCATGCTAATTGCCTCCTTGATACACACTTGGCTTCTGTGGGTGGTGCTTCCACAATGCATCCCTAATGACTGATTGCGTCTTTCCGATTGGAGTATGTGCGTATAAAACAGAGGTCAAAGCATTGATGTTATTACTTTCGATTTATCTAAAGCTTTTGGATAGTATTGGTAAAGCCTTACTGTGAAATTAACGTCGTCTTGGTGTCAGCGGTCCTTTTTTGATTGGAT